GGCAGGTTTGTTGCCCACTGTAAATGTAGTAGCGTTTTGTCCTCTCTGGCTTTAAATCTACCATGCAATGGGCTTCTACTACATTCCTCAGGGGACAATTCCACAGATGAAATGTTTATTATTACTATGTCTTACCATCATATCTAGACGCCTCAATGGAGACCAGGACCCACCCACCATGCACATAGTGAAACACAGTCCCTGACCTGAAGAGCTGGCAATGTAAATAGATGGGACAGAGAAATGAAGGATTGTTACCGCTATTTTACAGATGGGGAACTGACATACAGAGAGACTAAGTGACTTGACCAAGGTCACCCAAGAAAGTCTGTAGCACAGGTAGGAATTGACCTCAGCCCATCTGCATTTCTGCCAAGTGGCATAACCCCAAGACCATCCTTCCTCTCTGCTCAGGTTACTCAAAAGTTCTTCCTGACATTCACCCAGCTACTACAATGCTCCAAGGCTGACCTAGGCTCAGGCTCAAGGATGTTTGTAAGAGGAACTTGAAAACTTTCAACAGTGACACAAGCTAGGAAGATGGGGCTAGCAACAGGCTGCACTGAAGGGCTGCGCTGCACCTGGGAATCAAAGAGGCTGAAGAGAAGTGATTGAGAGAGAGGAAAGCAAAGGGCAGCAGGCCTCAAATGTCAATCGTGCCCCGGCTTCATCTCCGGGCCCTGCTGCTTACGCCTGCATTATCTGTGGCAAGGACCGTCACTTGAGAATTAAACTTTTGAACCACTTGCGATGCAGCAGCACCATACCCAGGAACTAAATCGCTGTGGGGCGTACAGCATTGTCTTCTAACTTCAGTGCTGTGCATGAGGTAAGAACCTGTCCAGAGTAGAAAACACTTCCTCTTTCTCAGTTTCACCCCACGACTCCATGTTAGAGCTCTTCGTACCAAAGGCACGGGAGTACGTGTGGAGCGTGCCCGGCTGACTGTTAACATAGCCTCCTCTTTGAAACTCAGCATAACCTAGTTGTGCGGTATGAATGAGCAATGGCTTCAGATTAGAGACACATTAACAGAATCCTACAGCTGCGATTGGCTGCTAGAGCTGGGCAGGGCACATCTTTTCTCTGGTGTGGCTTCGCCACAGGTCATATTCTTGAGTTTCTAGTTTAAACAAGTCCCAGACAGGCACATATCTGTGCATTTTTCATCCATGGATCTCAAAGCACGGTCTGAAGCATGATTAGCCCTATTTTACAGGTGTAGAAACTAGGGCACTGGGAAGGTTCAAAGGCCCAATCTTTCAAATCTAGGTGCCTAAAGTCAAGCCCGTAAATCCAGATTTAGGCACTGAAATAAGTGTCCTGATGATCAGGGCAACTGAGCACCAGCAGCTCCCGTTGACCCCGGTAGGGATTCTGAGCATGGAGGGCTCAGGGGATCAAGCATGACATTTCTAGCTCGTCACACCATTGTCAGGGAATACTGATGGGGCTGGGGGGTGACTGTGATCTCGCTGTGTGCATGCATCCTCTTGGACCCTCTCAGTTCTCCGTCTTCATTGCCAGGCTCTTGTAATTCATTCCGTGATGGTCGCTGCTGACAGCAGAGTAAACTGAATACAGGTTGCCCGGCTGCTGGGCTAATTTATTCCTGGCGGGCAGTGTTTCAGCTTTCAGGCTGGTGGGAAGGCACATCCCTCCCTTCGTCTCCCTCTCCCCCAAGACAAATAGCAACACCGTCAAGATCGAAGGAGTTGTCACTTAACATCAGAGGGAAGGTGGTGACGGGCCGTGTCACACTACAGCACGAACATTCCAGCTGGCTACAGAGCTGTCATCGTTAGCAGTCTGCTAGAAGATGCCATTGCGGTCCAGTGTTCTTGAAACTTGGCTTAAACACACATATTCTCGCTCTGAGCAGCTCTTTAGGATTCAGAAGTGGCATGGGCTGTCATATCTGATGCGACGTGTCGTGCGTCGCCTTCAGAATTCTGAGGCCTTTGATTTCACGAGTCTGGTTTTGATTCTGTTCAGCCAGATTCAATAGAAACATCGGCAGAAGCCCAAGCAAACTCAAAATGAATAAACCAAAATCAAATCAGTCTTGGGGCTTGTCTACGTTACCGCTTAAGTCATTGTAACGTGCGTCGCTCCGGGGTGTGGAAAAGCCACTCCCCGGAGCGACGCAAGTTACGTCGACTTAAATATCAAGTATTGGGGGTTGCCGTGTTAGACTGTATCCACAAAAACAAGGAGTCCGGTGGCACCTTAAAGACTTCATGCATCTGAAGAAGTGGGTTTTTTACCCATGAAAGCTTATGTCCAAATAAACCTGTTAGTCTTTAAGGTGCCACCGGACTCCTTGTTGTTTTTGTCGACTTAAAGTGTTCTCCACGCCGCGCTAGGTCAGCAGGAAAGCATCTCCCGCTGACATAGCTTCCAGCTCTCGTTGAGGTGGAGTAATTACGCCGACAGGAGAGTGCTCTTCAGCAGACGCGCTGCAGCAGCTGATGTTGTGCAGTAGTGTAGACTGGCCCTTAGTTTAAAGTTCTTGAGGCTTTAATCTGACTGTTTTTATGGGATCTGGACCATGGCATTCCATACACTTTGTGTATGGCTGGGTGTACAAGACACCACTGCTCTCTTGTGGAAGGAATGTCAGTCCAGCTCAAATGTTTGATTATGTCACCCTCTGCTGGCTGAATTTCAAAGGGCTTATAAGTCCCACTACTCCTGTTTTAAGGATCGGATTGTGCACATATTTCTATATGAAATCACAGAAGTGTAGGACTAGAAGGGACCTTGAAAGGTCATTGAGTCCAGTCCCCTGCCTTCACAGCAGGACCAAGTACCATCCCTGATAGATTTTTGCTCCAGATCCCCAAATGGCCCCCTCAAGGATTGAACTCACAACCCTGGGTTTAGCAGGCCAATGCTCAAACCACTGAGCTATCCTTCCCCCCCATACACGGGAGTAATTTTGCTCAAGCAAGTCATCCCACTGGATTCCAAATGGACCCATTCAGCTGCAAAGTCTCTTGCAGGCTTAAATGTTTACAGGATTGGACCCTAAAACTGGACAATTATACCCTGATTTGCAGATGTGCTGAGCGTTCGCAGCACCCACTGACATCAGGAGGAACTGCAGGAGTGACGCACCGATGAAAATCAAACCGCTTATATCTTTCTTTTTACTGAATTAAAAAAAAAAAAAATCTGAAATTTTGCATCTGCCAAACTCCAGTTGATGCAAAATTTCCAGGAGATGGGAATGTTTTCCAGTGGAAAATATACAAAAAATGCCAATGTCCATGTTTCCAATGTGACGCAAGCGTCGTTTGAAATAGGTTTCATTTTTGCTCCATAAAAGAGTCCTATTCCCTTAGTAAAATTGTGTGAGAAAACCACTTCTTTCTTGAATTCACAATGAAATACAAAAAGCTAAGACTTTTGAGTAGTTTTGCCTTTCTGACCCTGATTCTTCCTTGGGCCAAATGATACAAATTCAACGACTTTAGAGTAAAAGGGTCCTAAATTCTGCACCTCACAATCTGAGTAGGAAATAGTTAACCGTGGAATCTGTATAACCAAAGATTCAATACAATAGCAAACCATAGCACTGTATTTCAGAAACCAACTATTTCAATACATAGAATGATAGTGTTCAATTATAATGGGGGAGAAACAGATGAGTACAAACAACTGTCTACTATTATATAAAACAGGCATGAATGCATAGATTTTAAGGCCAAGAGAGTCCATTACATCATCTAGTCCAGGGGCGGGCCAGCTTTTTGGCCTGAGGGCCACATCAGGTTTCCGAAATTGTATGGAGGGCTGGTTAGGGGAGGCTGTGCCTCCCCAAACAGCCAGGCGTGGCCTGGCCCCCGCCCCCTATCTGACCCCCCCTGCTTCTCGCCCCCTGACGGCCCCTCCTGCCCCATCCAATCCCTCCTCTCATTCCTGACTGCCCCCCCGGGACCCCTGCCTCATCCAACCACCCCTTCTCCCTGACCGCCCCCTCTACAGCCACGCCGCCCAGAGCGCCAGGACAGGCAGCCGTGCCGCCCGGCTGGAGCCAGCTACGCCATCGTACAGCACAGAGCACCGGGTCAGGCTGCAGCTCTGTAGGTGTGCTGCCCAGAGCATTGCGCCGGCAGCGCAGTGAACTGAGCCTGCAGGGGAGCGGGGACAACACGGGAGGGGCCAGGGTCTAGCCTCCCGGGCCAGGAGCTCAGGGGCCGGGCAGGAGGGTCCCCCGGGCCAGATGTGGCCCGCGGGCTGTAGTTTGCCCACCCCTGATCTAGTCTGTCCTCTTGTATAACACAGGCCTTAGAATTTCACCCAGTTATTACTGAGCCCAGTAACATGTGTTTGGCTAAACATCATCTTCCAGAAAGGCATCTAGTCCTGATTTGAAAACTTCAAGACATGGAGAATCCACTACTTCCCTTTGTAGTTTGCTCCAATGGCTTACCACACTTACTGTTAAAAATGTGTGCCTACTTTCTAATCAGAATTTGTCTGGTTTAGCTTCCAACCATTGCTTCTTGTTATGGCTTTCTTTGCTAAAGGGCCCTTAAATTAGAGATTAAAAATAACAAATTTATTTTATGTTATGAGACCACAAATTGGATTAGTACCATTTAAGAATAGATAAAGTTTACATCAAAACAGCATTTCATAAAACTCAGCACTTTCTGAATCAACACTTAGATCTGGTTTTCCCACTGCAAGTTATTTCTCAAAAGAGCTGGTTGAAAAGGATCAAAATTGGAAATTTTCATTACATTTTTTATCAAACGCTGCCCTGCTCCCAAAAATCCCCCAAACCAACCTGAAACGAAATATTCAAGAAAATTTTGTTTCAATGTTTAAACTGTTATAGAACTGGTAAAAAAATTAAAAAAAAAAAAATTGGGGGAAAAAAAACCCTAAATGAAAAATTTCATGAAAATGTCCCTTGTTTTTTCCAACCAGCTCCGTTTATTCAAAATGGAAAATAAATGAATGAGTAGGTAACACATGGAAATACTGACTTTGCCTTGAGTGTTTCCTCCTGAAAATTCCACTGCGGGTCTTCAACTAGCTGCAGTTCTCGGAGAACGCTGCCTGGTTTGTAAGCTGCGTTGATTACCATGCTAAGAACCTAATGAAAGACAAAAGTAAACACTGATAGCTTTAATAGAGTGACCACATAGTCACTATCCTCATATCTGCACTGAAGTAGCACCTGGAGGCAACAACTGACTCAGGGCCCCTTTGTGCTAGGCACTGTATATATTCACGACAGGGGTCCCCGCCCCCAGAGAGATTACAATCTAAGCAGTGCTTTAAGTATAATGCAGGTGTTGTCAATGTGCATGTTAACATTCTATGGTATTTACGCGATTCTATGGGGGGGGAGAGGATGAGCTGGTTTTAACACCCTATACTTAACTTGATCCTTCACAGATTTGCAACTGACTGTAAGCATATCTACTCCCCACCCCCACCGCAGTCGCCTCCAGACATTATTACAAGAGAGAAGCTGATTATATCATAATAGCATACAGTAGAGATGATCTCTTGCATCCTTTCCAGTCATGGGTAGGGCCCTACCAAATTCACGGCCATGAAAAAATGTCACGGACCGTGAAATCTGGTTTTTTGTGTAATTTTGCCCTATACTATACAGATTTATGGGGGAGACTAGTGTTTCTCAAACTGGGGGTCCTGATCCAAAAGGAGGTTGCAGGGGGGTCGCAAGGTTATTTTAGGGGGATCACGGTATTGTCACCCTTACTTCTGCACTGCTGCCTTCAGAGCTGGGTGGCCAGAGAGTGGCGGCTGCTAACCGAGGGCCCAGCTCTGAAGGCAGCAGCGCAGAAGTAAGGTTGGCAATACTGTACCACGTCATCCTTACTTCTGCGCTGCTGCTGGCAGGGCGCTGCCTTCAGAGCTGGGCTCCTGGCCAGCAGCCGCCACTCTCCAGCTGCCCAGGTCTGAAGGCAGCGCTGCCGCCAGCCGCTGCGCAGAAGTAAGGGTGGCAATACCACGACCTCTCTACAATAACCTTCAGACCCTCCCCTCCCCCCAAAAAAAACCCATTTTGGATCAGGACCCCTACAGTTACAACACCATGAAATTTCAGGTTTAAATATCTGTAATCATGAAATTTATGATTTTTAAAATCCCATGACCGTGAAATTGACCAAAATAGACTGTGAATTTGGTAGGACCCTAGTCTTGGGAGTTTGCCATCATTTTTGGAAACCAAGTTGGATAATTTGCAGTCATGAATTTCACTTAATGCTACAGATTACAATGTAAAGCAGGCATAATTTGAATAGCCTGATGGGTTTGCTTATTAGTGGAAGCAAGATATTAATTCGTTATTAGACCTTTGTAGATTTCACAAGACTGCTCATTAAAAGAAATGAACTTTGAAATACTCAAAATAGTGTCCAATAATAATACTCCCAGGTTCTTATACCATGCTTTTCACCTACAGATCTCAAAGCACTTCACAAAGGAAGATAGGGATCATTATCCCCATTTTACAGATGGGCAAACTGAGGCACAAATTTGCCCACAGTCACTTAGCAGGCTAGTGGCAGAGCAAAGAATAGAGCTCCAGTCTCCTGAGTCCTACCCTAGCGTCCTACCCAGTGGCTCACACTGCCTTCCAACAAAAAAAAAAAAAGGACAAATCCGTATGTTCTCAGCCAATCAACGCTCATAACTGTTCCCCTCCCATCACCCACTGCAGAACTGACAGGGGCACTGGCCTGTGTGACTCACAGCCATAGGAGTTGAATGGCCTTTTAAGGGCTCCCACCCTCGCTGGCCTGCGTAGCTGCATCTACTACACTAGCCTCTTTTGGGAAAGCTCCCTCATTTCACTTCCAACAAGTACAGAAAACACAGCAATGTGAACACTGGTGCCCGGTCCACACTGACACTCCCATAATTGCGACCACCAGCACAACTGCACTGGTGGTCCTGAAACAACGCATGGTTTTCCCCAAAGACCTAATGTAGGCAAGGCCAACGGCAGAGAAAAGGCACTTGGGATGGCTGCGAGCAGTCCCCAGTATGGTTCAAGGATGCTCCTTCCAGATATGCTACCCTTGGCATCTAGGCTCCAATTCAGCAAAGCACTTAAGACTTGGATGTTTTGTTGAACTGGGGCCCTACCCAGCCTGTGTCTAAGATGCCCCATATCCCCTTCACATTAATGTGTCTTTTAAATCCGGCACCAGCTGGGAATAAACAATTGCCTGTTAGAGAGAGCTTGATCAATTGGAGTGTGACCTCCCTTACTTCCTAATGCTGAGGGCTACTGAATTGCAAAACAGGGTCCCCAGGGTAGTGGTGGCAGCCAAACTGTTTGACATATTAAAAACTAGACTGGACACAGCACTAGGAAACGTAACACGGGGAAATGAACAATCCTGCATTGACAGGGAGATGGCCTCTTCCACTTCTAATTCTTATGACAGCCTATAGGGAATGAGGCAAATCACCGGTAACAATTGTTTCTCCTGTATTTCTATCTGCAGGTCACCCACAAATGACCGCATGCTTGCTGTGCTGCAGCATTGTCTTCTCCTTTGCATGCACTCTGCTCTCATTTGCTTCATGAGGTGCTGCCCGCTCCTCATGTTTCATCGACTGTCTGATTGTGCCCCTGGGAGCTCTCTTGACGTTGCTGATTTCCATTTGGACCTGGAGCCTGCTTCTTTTGGCACAGCTAGACACTACTCCATTCACGAATGTCACGAATTAAAGAATCTGATTTAGCTCAAGAACCGTTCAGTCATACAGGTCCCATTCCTGCAACCTTTCCCCTCCATGCGTTCACAAGGACCATGGAGCAGGTGAATAACACATCTCCGTTGTTCAGCAGTTGTAAGGGGAAGGACAGATCGTTCTTTAAATGGTTAGTTAATCCATAGATAATAAAACTTAGCACTCAAACATTAACTGAACAGCACACAACCCCTCTTTATTTTCTCCATTTTGCAAATGGAGGCAGAGCCATTACGGGCCAGATCTTCAACAGGGCTAAGCTCATGAAAATCTGGCCACTCATTTTGATGTCTAAATGGAAACAGAGCTGTTCTGAAAATGTGTCCCTAAGTGACTTGCCCAGACCACGCAACCCATCAATGGCAGAGCTGGAAATGGAAATGAAGTATTTGATCACCAGAAACAACACGTCCTAGGAGTGAAAAGACATTCACTCTGTAGTAGGGTAACCCGGTTAAATAGAGAACTCTGATGATTACATTGCGGCATAATGTTTCTCTAAACAAAAGCGCACTGTTGTGATGATTATTGTTTCATCTCTGATATGCATATGGCAATGATTTGTAAACCTGTTCAAAGCTTCCTACCTAAATAAAAAGATAAGAAAGAAAGACAGAAATCAGGCATTTGTGGCCTGACTGACTCACTTAGACACCATTGCCTTGATCACCTATTAAAGTGGTATCTGTTCCAAGTACAGTTGGAGGGACAGAGTTCCACTGCTCAGTCTGTCTGGGTTTTACCTTAGACACACAATTTATTTCAGTCCTGTACAGATGCTAACAATACCAGCGTTTTTCTCTGAATTGGCTTGTCTCCACCATGACTCTTAGTCATCTAAGCTCACATTGGAAAATAATGTTTTGACGGGATAATAATTTCCCTTTGGGAGGGAAAAATGCGTTAGCTTTGTCTCTGTGTTTATTTCCTATAAGTCCCTTGGCTTGTCACTAACCTTCCAGCAGGAGTCCATTACCATGTTAACAGTGTTCTCTTCCAATGACATTATCTCTTAATCTCACACACAGTTCAACACTACTTTACTTCTTGGGGGAAAGGGAACTGGGTTTTAAAAAGTTCCCTAAAAGGTATTTAGGCATCTAACTCCCATGATTTCAATAGGCTCTGGGCCCAAATCCTGATCTCATTCAATTAAACTTCCACTGGTTTCAGCATAGCTAGATATGATCCAAGTAACTAATTTTGGGCAACTTTCTTGAATCCACATGTATTTCTCTTTTACTGTGCTTTCCAACGCCAGTGAGGACGGATTCCATTTTTGGCCCATGATGTCATAAATACATAGTCTATGGCCTTGGCTACACTTGCAGATGTACAGCGCTGTGAGTTAAACCTGACTTCGTGCAGCTGAGTAGGGAAAGCGCTGCAGTCTCTCCACACTGACAGCTGCCCAGCGCACTGTCATGGACACATTTGCGGCAATTGCAGCACTATTGGGAGCGGTGCATTATGGGCAGCTATCCCACAGAGCACCTCTTCCCATTCTGGCACCGTGGGTTGTGGGAAGGGGGCGTGGGTGCGGGGCATTCTGGGTCCTGTCCCAACGCCCCGTGATGCATCGCTTCGCATCCCAGAAATCCCTTTGTTTCCGTCCACCTTTGGCGCCATCTTTCAATGGTTTCTGTGCAGCGCGATCTGTCTGCGGGAAATGGAGCCCGAACTGCTGAGGCGTATGCTGACAAGTCTCGCCAGCACGTCACGTTTGGCTGTCGAACTATTCCTTAAGATCCAAAGTGACAGTGAGAGTGAGGAGTCCGACGATGCTATCGAGCCGCGTAACGCGTACGACACGAAATTGCTTGTGGCATTCACGGACATGCTCAGCACCGTGGAACGCCGCTTTTGGGCTCGGGAAACAAGCACCGAGTGGTGGGATCACATCGTCATGGAAGTCTGGGATGACGAGCAGTGGCTGCAGAACTTTCGGATGAGAAAAGCCACTTTCATGGGACTGTGTGAGGAGCTCGTTCCCACCCTGAGCGTAAAGACACGAGATTGAGAGCTGCCCTGCCAGTGGAGAAGTGGGTGACTATTGCAATCTGGAAGCTTGCAACTCCAGACAGCTACTGGTCGGTCGCAAACCAGTTTGGAGTGGGAAAGTCGACCGTTGGAATCGTGTTGATGCAAGTTTGCAAGGCCATTAATCGCATCCTACTGAGAAGAACCATGACTCTGGGTAAAGTGCAGGAAATAGTGGATGGCTTTGCACAAATGGGGTTCCCTAACTGTGGAGGGGCGATAGATGGGACGCACATTCCTATTCTGGCACCACCCCACCTAGGCTCCGAGTACGTTAATCGGAAGGGGTATTTCTCTATGGTTCTCCAGGCGCTT